ATAGTCCCGACTTCCCACCAGCAGGACAGGGGAGGGAGGAAGACAGGAGTGAGCGGCTTTGTGAAGAAGATTCTGTGAACCGGGAGTTAGTCACATGACCACACTGAGCTACAAGGAAGCTGAAACCTGAGGGACTCCTATCACTTGTAGGGTTGGGAACGTCAGTGATTTGGTCTGGCCCTGCCAAGGCAACTGCAGGTAGGACTCAATGCAGTGAATCTCTAGCAGGCTAATTTTTCAGTTGAGAATTTTACATGATCTCTGAGTGATGCTACAAATATCCAAATGGCCCATGGCAGAAGAAAGTTTCCACATCTCTGTTAGAGGAAGAAAATAGCAGTGGATAGTGGGAGCAGTCTCTGCCTCAAAAGCCTGCCTCAATCCTATACCTAAATCTAGGAAGGAAAGCTGCTTCCAGTGAATGTTGACCATTAGAGTCAGGGCATTGCTCCTGCGGTATGGAGTTAGTGTTCTCTTCCACTTTGGGAGTTCTAGTTTAAGAGATTTAGACAAGCTGGGTGGGTTTGCAGGAGTTCAATTATGATAGTTGGTGATAGGCTGGAAATCCAAAGCTTTTAATAAATCCTTGGGGGGCATTCAGTACATTAACCTGGAAAAGAGAGGATTTCAGGATAACAAGATATCTGTCTTTAAAGACATAAGGACTCCCAAGTTGAAGAAGGCTTAGAATTATCCATGTAGCTTGAAGAAATGAAAGGGACTCACACTTCAGTCCCCAAATGCTTTTCCATCCCACCCCCATGGACCATCCCTTTTACAAGCCAACCAATTCAAATTTCTTTCTGCTTTGGAGCAAATCATATTTTCTCTCACTTTTAAGCCTTTGTCCATAAGTTTCTTTGGTCTCCAACACTTTCCCAACTTTGGTTCTGGCTATTTCCTGCTCATTTTTCTGGTCTCAACTTGGATGTTTTAAACTTTAGGCAATTTTGACTAGTACCTAAGTCTGTGATCGGTTCCTGTCTCCCGTGTTCCTTTGGCAATCCACAGTACCTCATCATAATGCAACACACTGGATGAAGTAGTGGGATTTCCCACTGACTGTACCTACCTAAGTACAGGCAGCCCCATACTTCCCTGGTTGTCAAGAACCCAACCTCTGTTCCAGGGGGCCAGTGAATGTCCTGAGCTGCTGCAAAAGGCAAGAAAGGGAAGTTTGGTAATGGTAACTTTGATGGGGTAGTGAATTGAATGGTGTCCTCCCAAGATTCATGTGCCCTTGGAACCTTAGAATGTGATTTTATTTTGCAAATAGTCTTTGCAGATGTAATGAGTTAAGATGAAGTCATACTGAATGAGAGTGGTCTTTACATCCAACAGTCAGTGTCCCTATAAGAGAGGGCACAGAAAGAGACGCACAGAGAAGGAGACACTGTGAATAGGAAGAGATTAGCATTACGCTGCTCAAGCCAGTGGCTGCCTGGAACTTTCAGGACCTGAAAGGACAAAGAAAGAATTCCTCCCTAGAGCTCTCAAAGGGACCATGACCCTGCAGAAACCTTGATTTTGGACTTACAGACTCCAGGAATCTAAGAGAGTAAGTGTCTATTGTTTTAGGTTGCCAATTTCTGGGAGTTTGTTACAGCAGCTTTAGGAAACTAATAGAGATGGCACAGGGCAAGGTGGGATTCCTTTCCATGAACAGTCTTCGGATGACATGTGTATAGCTGTCAGTAGAGGGGACCAGATATACAGCAGTGGGAAGAACAGCCAACATAATCCTTCAGTGCAAATGTCAGGCGTGTTTGCTACACTGGCAACAGGTGATCTGTAGGCATCACTTTGCCTCAACCCCGGCTCCTCCGATGCTTGCTGTAGTGGATTCAACAATGATTCCACCTATTCCGAGTTATCCCCTGTGTCCAGTTTCTATTTGCAGCAAGCTCTCAGTCTTTCTTGCTAGCTCAGATGGAGGTCACATAGTTTGCCTAGGTTCTTAGTCTGGGCCTTTTTCTTTTCACTCAACTATTGAGACCTAAACTCTAACCAAATGGTTTGCAAACTGTGGTTCCCTGGACAAACAATGTCAGCATCACCTGAGTGGGTTCTAATAGTATCAAAGCTCAGGGCCTAGTGCAGACCTACTGAATCAGAAACTCTGGATGGCCCCAGCAATCTTTGTCTCAACAGACCCTGCAGGTAATCTCATTGTTCATCAAAGTTTGAGGGCCATCCATTTATAGCTTTGCTGTCTTGGGGCCATGCATCTTGATTTTTCTTTTAATTCTCCTGGCAAAATCCAGATACTACAACACATAAGATTTGGCTTTCAAAACTGTTATTTCTGATATGAGCATCAGAAGTCCACATCAGATATCATCATAAAAGTAAGTTTTTTTAAAAAAAAAAAAGATTTATTTATGTATTTGAAAGTCAGATTTACACAGAGAGAGGAGAGGCAGAGAGAGAGAGGGAGAGAGAGGGAGAGGGGGGGAGAGAGAGAGAGAGAGAGAGAGGTCTTCCATCTGCTGGTTCACTCCCCAATTGGCCGCAATGGCTCGAACTGCCGGAGTTGTACTGATCAGAAGCCAGGAGCCAGAAGCTTCCTCTAGGTCTCCCACGTGGGTGCAGGGGCCCAAGGACTTGGGCCATCTTCTACTACTTTTCCAGGCCATAGCAGAGAGCTGGATTGGAAGTGAAGCAGCCAGGACTCAAACCAGCGCCCATATGGGATGCTGGCCCTGCAGGCAGTGGCTTTACCCACTATGCCACAGTGCCAGCCCCAAAAAGGCAGTTTTGACTATGACTATTTCTATGTACTTGCATTTCTGCTGGAATAATCCAACTTTTCATCAAGGGTATATGGAAAACTCCAGTTGGCCTGAGAATAGTCCTGTTCAAGGAAATTTGTTAGAGAAAAGCACATAAAGATATATTAATTGGTATATTAAAATCTGTGTGCTAGCTACATACATTCATGTATTCATCTGTTTCCCTAGACTGTAAGCTCTTAGAGATCAAGGACTATGTCAGTATGATTTGCCACTGTGTTACAAGCACCAGCATGAGCCTGGACACTTGTTGAACAGATGAAAAATCAGTAAGTTTTAGCGATTGTAAATTCCCCAGCACCAGAGGTGTTTAGGCAGAGATTAGATGGGAATGGCAGGAATGTTGTAGAGAAGGTTCACATATCGGATAGGTGTCGGACTGTATGAATTCTCCAGCCTTCACCCACTGTGAGTCTTTGTTACAGGACCCTGCAGGTAGTGCAGCACTTGGCCCATTGTCTAGCACAGTCTTACTGTTAACTGTTTTGTAACCTACTGACTTCTCCAGTGAGAGTAGAGTTAATGGTGACTTTCTTATAGGCTCCCAGACATTTTCTGGTTCTAGGACAAATCGTGGGGTTTTTGAAGTACCCATTTGGGGAGCATTTTACTATTCAGAGATAAAAAAATCTATTTTTTGTTGTCACACTTATAAATTTGGGGAATTGTCCTGACTTCAATATTGTACTTGTTGATTGTAAGAAGCAAAGTGAAAAATTAAAGTCTGCAGGGCTCAGTGGATTGAGATGATACTGCACACACACAGATATAGAGCAGCCCCTGGCTGCTTTCATGCAGATGTGGGGTGATGGTCACAGAATGTTACACTGGAGGAGACCTCAGGGGGGTTGTGGTCTACATTTGAGAAAACTGAGGCCTGAAAAGGAGGAAAACTTCTTGACCCTGCACAGATGCCCAAATAGGTAATATATTAGTGGGATGAAAAGGTTTATGCCATTTCTTTGAGCATTAGAAGGATAGCCTGGCAAGAAGGCAAAATTCAAAAGAACCTGATTCATGACCATAGACCTTGGGTGGCAAATGCCACTGGTGGCTCACTTGTGTCCCCTTGACATTCCTCTTACAAGCTGTGGTTCCTGGGGTGTAAGAGAAACAGGCAGATAACTGCAACTTGTCAACCTACCTCTCCTGGCCAGGGAGTGCCATGTATCAGCCTCTTGTTCTAATAGACCAATGAGAGTGAACATTGCATGCTCACTGTGTGTCAGACACTAGTCTAAGTGATCTAAGTGTCTTAAAGCTTTCAATCCTCACAACACCCTGTGTGATAGAGACATTTATTATCTGTAAGTTATAATGTAATAATAATAAATGCATAATAAATAATCAATTCATGATAAATAAATGATAAATGCATACGAAACTTATGCAAGGTCACAAGCTTGACCTTGTGGTTCACTCCCCAATTGGCCGTGAACAGGCAGGGCAGGATTCTAAGCTGGGCTCTCTGGTGTAGAGACAACTGCCCGGTAAAATTCTTTTTTTTTTTAAGATTTATTAATTTATTTGAAAGTCAGAGTTACACAGAGAGAGAAGGAGAGGCAGAGAGAGGGAGAGAGAGGTCTTCCATCTCTGCTTCACTCCCCAAATGGCCTTAATGGCTGGAGCTGTGGTGATCTGAAGCCAGGAGCCAGGAGTTTCTTCTGGGTCTCCCACGAGGGTGCAGAGGCACAGGGAATTGTGCCATCCTCTACTGCTTTCCCAGGCCACAGCAGAGAGCTGGATTGGAAGTGGAGCAGCCAGATCTTGAACCAGCGCCTATATAGGATGCCGGCATGGCAGGTGGCAGCTTCACCCACTACACCACAGTGCCGGCCCTGTAAAGTTCTTAATATAGAAGCTCGTGTGGATTCAGAAGTCAGGAGGCTTCCCTCTTCTTGAGGCCCAGGGCCTTCCTCCTTTGGTTTCCCCTTTGTAGGGGGATGGATTGATCTATCAATGATCCAGGGTCCGGGGCAGTGCCACAGGTTTCCTGTTCACACAGGTAAGAAGGTGGGAGGCAAAATGGCTGATTGAGACTTGTGGATATCCCCCAGTGCTCCCAGTTTTGCTATGACTTTGAGACATGAACTTCTCTAACTGCTGCTACTTAGGGGTAGAGGGAGTTCGGATTATTCAACTGGCTCCACAGGCGGAGTTGTAATTCTTTTTTTTTTTTTTTTTTGACAGGCAGAGTTAGAGAGAGAGAGAGAGAGAGAGAAAGGTCTTCCTTTTCTGTTGGTCCACCCCCCAAATGGCTGCTACCGCCGGCGCACTGTGGCCGGCTAGCCACGCCGATCTGAAGCCAGGAGCCAGGTGCTTCCTCCTGGTCTCCCGTGTGGGTGCAGGGGCCAAGCACTTGGGCCATCCTCCACTGCCTTCCCGGGCCACAGCAGAGAGCTGGAGTGGAAGAGGAGCAACTGGGACAGAACCGATGCCCTAACCAGGACTAGAAGCCGGGGTGCTGGCACCGTAGGCAGAGGATTAGCCAAGTGAGCCGTGGCGCCGGCCGGAGTTGTCATTCTTTAGGAGCCTCAGCATAATCTAGGATGCCTTAGGGTTCCTAGCACAGACCTGGAGAGATCTTTATTTCTCTTGCCCCTGCCCTCTTAAGTCACAAAGGATGAGTCAGTCTCGGGTCTCTGGGCAGACTCTAATGAGACATGGCTTCCTGGCACTGGAGCCCTGCAGTAACTGCATCCAAGGCTTTCCCATCAGTGGATCACATGACTGGAAGACCATATGTGCTGGGCTACATGAGCATTGATGACAGTGGTGAGTGGGAAAGAACAAAAAAATCCTGGGACATTTCCCTAACACATGTCATGCTCATACAAAGGCTTTTGTGTTCCTACTTTACTTTAACCCAGGATCCTGCTGAAGGTCTGGGTTTGTGACACATGTTCAGGGGAATTTAACATCAACAATTCACCACAAGACATTAGATTCCACTGGGCTTCAGGCATGTTGGTCACTGAACATAGCCCTCAGGTACAACATGAACAAAATGTCCAACTGAAAGAAGTTGGGCTCCAGGCAAGGGGGACACTTCTTGCCCGAGGGCTGCTGCTGGTGCTACATAGGCTATTGTTTTTCCACAATTCCACGGGTACCATCCTCACTGATGGCAAATGGATGGAGCCCCTTGGAGTTGTGTGGTGTGATGACAGTGGTATTGTATTCAATGAGGTGAAAGGCAGCCCCCTCTGGCTTCACAAAGCAGAAAGCTCAGGGTTGCTCATGAGCCCTCCTTGTCTATCATGCTACGTTCCCAATCCATCTGAGAACATCCTGTCTTTTAGCTTTCAGTCCCAGTTGAGTCTGCCCTGTCTCTTCATTCCACTTCCCTGATCTCTCCATCATCCCTCACTCAGACTCCTGGAGTAATCTTCTCGCTGGTATCCCCACATCTCTAATGAAACCACACTAATGATTTGTCTTGGCTCTGAGAAGAAGGACCAAGGTTTGCACATGGCCCCAGGCTTTGACGTCTGTCCCTTGCCCACCTCCCCAGAATTACCTTGTTCCTTCTGTTCTCTCAGCCTCACTGCTCTGGCCTTTGTGTTCAGGTCCTGGAGACCTGCTGTTCCCTCTGCCTGGGACGCTGGATGCTCTCCCTTCTCACCTCCACCCTGACAGCATCATTAACTCTCACTCACTTTTACTCTCAGCTCCTGTGTCATTTCCTCACCTGACCTTTTCAACATGAATCACATTGTAACCTCTATCGATGGGATGGTTTCACGTCAGTTTCCCCCATGTGACTCTAAGGTATGTATCTTGCTCAATGCTGTACCCCCAGTGCCAGCACAGGAAACTCAGGAGACATTTGTTATTAAAGGAATCACTTTGCCCTTAGGTGGGAAGCAGGACAAAAGCAAGTCCACAGCCACAGATACCCCCCACTGAAGCCCCTACGTCTTTGTCTGTGTGCTTATCCTAAGCCAAGACCCAGATCTTCCTCTTAGCAGGTGCTTCCAGCCTGAGTACATTTCTAACTATTCATATCATCCAGCTCTAGAATTTGTCATCATCACAAACCACACCTTTATCTTTTACATAATAACTCTTCATCCCATCTTCTTCCATTGGTGCCACCATTCTACTTTCTGTATCTATGAATTCTACTCTAGTTATGTCATGTAAGTGGAATTATACAGTACAGTAGTCCCTCCTTATCTGCAGTCTTTATGGGTTTCAGTTATCTATGATTACACATTATTAAAGGGAAAATTCCAGAAATAAGAAATTCATGTTTTAAGTAACTCTTATTATATTGTTATAATTGATCTTTTATTATTGGTGTTTGCTGTCAATATCTTCCTGTAACTTACATTAATTAGGCTTTATCATTGCTATGTATGTATAGGAATAAACATAGTATACATAGGATTACATACTATATGAGGTTTCAGGCATCCTCTGGGAGTCTTGGCCCCTATTTCCTGTGGATAAAGAGGGATTTACTGTATCTGTCTTCTTATGGCTGAATTATTTCATCTAATACAATGTCTTTAAGGTTATCCATGTTGAGGTGTGTGTCACAATTTCCTTCTTCTTAAAGGATGGATTATATCCCATTACGTGGACGTACCCCATTTTGTTCATCCATCCTTCTACTGGTGCATGGTAGCTGTTATTTCTGCCTTCTGAGTGTTGTAATGCTGGACATCAGTGTTTGACAGTTTTCAGTGAGTGATGCTGTACATCGGTGTTCCACAGACAATTTTCAATGACCTGACATAATTTTTGAGATAATGGGTTAGTGTCTCCCTCATCTTGGCATAACAATCTTTTTTTAAAAAACGTTTAGCTATTTATTTGGAAATCAGAATTACAGAGAGGGAGGAGAGATGGAGAGAGACAGAGAAATCTTCCACCCACTGGTCCACTCCCCAGATGGCTGCAATGGCCAGGGCTGGGCAAGCCTGAAGCCAGGAGCCGGGAGCTTCATCTGGGTCTCCCACATGAGTGGCCCAAGCATTGGGCCATCCTTTTCCAGGCCAGTAGTAGGGAGCTGGTTTGGAAGTGGAGCAGCCAGGACACAAACCAGCACCCATATGGGATGCCAGCATTACAGACAACGGCTCTACCCATTAGGCCATAATGCCGGCCCTAGCATAACTGAATCTTGAACTGAGTATTTCTTGCCTTGCAAAAAGTGTCTGCTCACCCTTTTACCTAGCCAGCCCCAACTTAGACTTTCTGCCCCTTGAGAAATAACAGAAGCATGGGGAAGCCTATGTCCCCGTGGGGCTTGTGTTAGGATGAGTAAGTAGGCTTCTGGAGTTTTGAGTGCTGTGTTGGGTCTTCAACCCTCACCAAAATTCAGAGAAGGGGAGGAGATCCACGTGCATCTTGGTTTTGGGGAATGGATATTTGTTTCCTCTGCCTGCTGTAATGAATCCATGCAAATGTGGTGATGTGAAATAAACAAATTGATCCTCATGTACCTCTGGGAGCCAGAAGCCTGCAGTCTGTTTCATGGGGCTAAAGTCAAGGTGTCAGCAGAGCTGGAAGCTGTGAGGGAAGAGTCACTTCCTTGCCTTTTTAGCATCTGGTGGCCTCTTGTGATCCCATCACCCCACTCTCTGCTTTCACCATCAAATTGCCTTGTCTTCTGCATCTGACCCTTCATGCCACCCTCTTATAAGGACCCCGTGATTCCATCAAGGTCATCAGGTAATCCAGGACAATCTCCCACCTCAAGATGTTTAACTGAGTCCTATCTGAAAAATCCCTTTTGCCATCTAAGATAACATTTTTACAGGTTCTAGGGGTTAGGACATGAACGTATCTATGTGGGTGAGGATGTTATCAGTGGAACAGAAAAGGCTTCCTAAGAAGCAAGGGGCTGGCCTTAATTGGCAGGCAGTGCAGGACAGGTGGATGGGGTTAAAATTCTAGGGCAGAGGCAGATGGGGGCTGGGTAATCTGCCCCCAACTAGTAGTAGGCATTACAGGATTCTTTCTCTGATGTGTGAGTCAACAAACATCTACCCAAGGCCCACTGTCAGCCTGGACTCACCTCACTGCACCCACTGGAGTATTCTGCAGAGCGCCCAGTGTTTCTGACCAGTGGGCAATGCCCTGATCTCTGGGAGCAGCACAGCAGTGGAGATTCTTGTGCAATGAATTCTTGTGGGTCTCCAAAAAATGCACTCCTCGTGAACATCTACAGAGCTCCTCGAAGGGCTGACACTTGTTAGGCTCTGTAGATGCAGGCAACTGAGACATAGCCCCTGCTCCAGGGCGTCTTTTTCTTCTTGGTTTCTCAGGCTTCATGCCATGAAGAGGATGACTTTTACAGTTGAAACAAATTTTTATAAAACATGGACTGTCCCTGAAAAAAAAAAAAGGTTGATTTTGGCTCGAAACTAGGTAAACATGAATCTTGGTGTGCATTGTCTGATTCCAGTGTTGATGAGGGTTTAAGAGGGGAGAGGAGGCATCCTGATGAGTAACAAAAATGTGGGTGCTTCACAGAAAAGGCAAGGATTTCGGCAGGATGGAGAGCTACTAGAAGTGGGGGGTGTACTGAGGGATGCGAGCTTAGTAAAATTCCTGAATAGGCTCTGAAAGTCTATCATAAATGCTGATGTGAAGATGGGCTGTATGCTGTTCCTAAAGCTTTTATTTCTTTCATGTTGGTCCAAATGTTATGCCCTAGCACATTTCTCGGAGTGCTCGTCACCACATTAGGGGGTCCTTGACTCTTTCAAGTGGTTTCAAGGGGGAACATGTCACTCATGAAAAACACACAAACAGCCCCCTGAGAGGTCCTGTCCTAGCCTCAAAAGTAAAACATAAAGGAGGAAAAAATGTGATGGGGTTTGCAGTTTGGAAAAGGCAGCTTTATGCATGTGAAGGTGGAGCATATGCTGAAGCTGTGGGTCTTGTGGGCGCACTGGGCTCACGTGCCAGCAGGAGGACTCACAAAATGTGTGGCCTGGGCACATTGTTGAATTTCTTGGCGATTCTGTGGTCTCTTCTTTAAATGAGGACAAAAGAGCACCTAAGCACGAGGCTGTTGAGTAAATTCAGACATATTTGACATATCATCCGCAGTAAGTTCTGAATCAGTGTCAACTGCTGCTCGTGGATAAGGATGCTACCTGGGCTTGTATCTTTTAGTCTGTGAAGTTAGGTAAGAGAAAATGGTGGCCCAAGTTAATCCATCCTTAGAAACTTGAAACAAATCACCCAAAGCCAAAACAAATCAAGTGACTTACAGAAAATGGTGCAAAACAAATCAAGTGATTTACAGAAAATGTGCTTACTGAGTCATTGGCAGGCTTCCTGCTTCCTTGCATTTTCCTTAGTGATTTATTCGAATCCTGGAATATGTATTCAGATTGACCTCAGTCTTTTTATGAGAAGATCTTGCAGAATCCAAAGCTGCTGCCAATGTGTGAGTGAAAGGAGGGGACAAAGCTTGGAACCATCAAGAAAGAGCATTAATCATAATCGTAGCTACTATTACACAACATGGTCAGTGACAAAAAGTCTTTTCACCTGTTTTGTCTCACATGATTTGCAAGTCAGTCCTATAAGCTAAAATGGGACTGTTAATCCCATTTTACTGATGGAAATAGTGAGGCTGAAGGAAGTCAAGTAACTTACTTGGCACAGATAATAAAGGGCAAGACTCAGGACTGCACACCTTCTGCCTTTAGAAAAAGCCAGAGGCCGGCACTGCAGCTCAATAGACTAATCCTCTGCCTGTGGCCCTGGCACCCCGGGTTCTAGTCTTGGTCGGGGTGCCGGATTCTGCCTTGGATGCTCCTCTTCCAGTCCAGCTCTCTGCTGTGGCCCGGGAGTGCAGTGGAGGATGGTCCAAGTGCTTGGGCCCTGCACCCACATGGGAGACCAGGGGAAAGCACCTGGCTCCTGGCTTCGGATCAGCATGGTGCGCCAGCCGCAGTGTCCATTGCGGGGTGAACCAACAGAAAAGGAAGACCTTTCTCTCTCTCTTGTCTCTCTCTCTCTCACTGTCCACTCTGCCTGTCCAAAAAGAAAAAAGAAAAAGAAAAAGTCAGTGTCCTAGGTTATGAGCTTCACAATGAATTGATCAGAAGATGAATGAATGCAGCCGTTTTTATAGAGCTATGAGAGTGCTCACTTTTTTTTTTTTTTGACAGATTTAGACAGTGAGAGAGAGACAGAGAGAAAGGTCTTCCTTTTCCGTTGGTTCACCCCCCAAATGGCTGCTATAGCCGGTGCGCTGCGCCGATCCAAAGCCAGGAGCCAGGTGCATCTCCTGGTCTCCCATGCAGGTGCAGAGCCCAAGCACTTGGGCCATCCTCCACTGCCTTCCCGGGCCACAGCAGAGAGCTGGACTGGGAGAGGAGAAACCGGGACAGAATCCGGTCCCCCAACTGGGACTAGAACCCAGGGTGCCCGCATTGCAGGCGGAGGATTAGCCAAGTGAGCCGTGGCGCCAACCCAGAGTGCTCACTTCTGAGTGCTGTGTGCTATTTTGAAAAGGGGGATATTGTACAGAATATTTTTAAAGAAATGCCTCTCTCTCTCTCTCTCTCTCTCTCTCCCTCCCTCCCTCCCTCCCTGCCTCCCTCCTCTCTTCCTGTCTTCCACTTCCCTTGACTCTCTGCCTTTCAAATAAATAAGTAAACATTTTTTAAAAATCAAAGACTATAATCAGACATGCAAAAGCTTTTGAAGGAGACAAGCCTTACTGGAATATATTAGGACATTTGTGTCACTTCCTCAGGGGACTATTTTGAAGGGCATCCCCTATTTGGGTGTGAAAGTTTGGTATGTTTCTTTAAACATGAGGGCCATATTACTTTATAGCTGTAGTTTTAGGAAGTCAATCAATAACTTCCTTTCTTTCCAAGTGCAGCACCAGTTGAGAAATCAGACACAGCAAGCAGACAGATGGAGATCATAGTGTGATCTTTATCACTGATAAGCTCGTGAGAGAGCCAGCTTGAGAGCTGTGGGCAGAAGAGTTGCCAGCAGCTCAGCTCCAAGTTATCAAGCTTTGCCCACCAGCATCACCACGGCCCTCATCCCCCACCCCCAGGGCAGAGCCTGCCTCACCAAGCATCCCACAGAGAAGGCAGAGCAGAAAGTGTGAATCTGTGGACAAGCAGATGAGAGAGGATGAAGGGTGGAGAGAACAAGGGAGGGCAGGACAGAAAGGAAGAGGAGGGAAGGAGGCTGAGCTGTGTCGCTCATCTCCCTTTCCCAAACTCCCTAATTTGGTAAATCCCTCCTACCTTTCAAAGGAAAAAGGAGTAACAGTAGGGGGTGGGGCAGAAATAGTACCCCAAGGAAATTTGGGATAAATGAAAGGGAACCCCTTTAACATTTTTAGGTATTGATGCACTTACTTTAATGCCATCAGCATTTCCCAGAGTTAGATATGATTATCCTGTGTAAGAAAGTCAAGGTGAGATATGGGTTTTGTGGTCCTTTATCTCTGAATGTGTTTAGTTAGATAAACTGTTTAGTAGAGATAACTTACTATTTTTCATGATTCGTTCATTCATGCAACAACTTCAGTTGAGCCCTTACCATGTGCTATGGCTGAGGGTTTCACAGCAAGCAGAGAGACATGGTGACTGGCCCCCAGGAACTACAGTGAAGTCTGGGGAGGAAGAACCCCATCAGTCACTAAAGTGTGAGGTTACTACCACATGAATGGGTACCTGTGACTTCAAGGTTTATAATAAATTAGGAGTCTGATGGTTGTGAAGGTCAGGAAGCAGCTCCTGAGAAGGTGACACCTGCGCTCGGATCTGGAGGGTAAGTAGTTAACTAGGCTAAGAGAACAAAGAGCATTGCAGACAGGGGGACATTCATATAATGTCATATACACAGCAGTGAAAATGAATGAGTCCCTGCTGCCCACAACTACAGGGATGAACATTAGCAACATAATGTTGGGTGGGAAAAAAGCAAATCCTAGAGACTACATGGAGCATGGTACTCTATCATGATATAAACTTTAACAAGAAAAATGAAACAATATATTATTTAGATATACAAATATTGTGATAAAACAAAAAAGGCACAAATACAAACACAGAATGTAGGGACAGTGGCTACCTTCAGAGAAAGGGTAGTAGGGAAGGGATGGGAAGTTCACAAAGGGACATGGAAACCATTGGTAAGTCTCTAGATAATGTATGGAAAGTTCTAAACAAGTTTATTGTATCATTTTAAACATATAAATAAAAAAGGCCACATATTAGCCAATTTAATGGCATTACATAAACCAAGGGTTATGGTTAGTCCAATGCTAGGTACTTGAGATGAAAAACAGGAGTGATTATGCTGAGTATTTGTGGAGTTAATGAATATTATAATGGTTGGAACAGAAAAGTAGAGGAGAGGAAAGATAGGAAATGAAGCTGTGGAGATGGCTGGGTCCACACCATGCAGACCCTATCAAGCTGGAATCCCTTTATCCCAAAAGCTATAGGAAACATTGAGGTTTCTAAGCAAAAGACAGACTTCAAAATTTGGATTTTGAAAAAAGCACATCATTGTGCATTCAATGTCCTGACTAGATTGAAGAGAGTCCAGACTTAATGTGAATGAACTACTAAGGAAGATTTGTCTAGACATCAGTAGGTGGAAGCTAAGAATAGTGTGGTGGCAGCAGTGGTAGTGATGGTGGTCACAGTAATAGTACTGGTGATGGTAGTGGTGGTGGTGTTTCTCGTGGTGTTCATGGTGACAGTGGAGATAGCAGTAATTATGATGGCAATGAGGTAATGATGGTGTTGGTAATGATGAGGTAGGTTGATGGGGATGAAGGTTGTGGTTGTGGTAATGATAGAGGTAGTAATGATAGTGATGGCACAGGTGGTAATGGTACTGGTAGAACTGGTGATGGTGGTAGTTTTAGTGTGGAAAAGACAGGTAAAAAGGGGCTAGTGTTGTGGTATAGCAGTTAAAAGCCTTTGCAAGTGACACCAGCATCCCATATGGGGTGCCAGTTCAAGTCCCAGCTGCTCCACTTCTCATCCAGCTCACTGCTAATGCACCTAGGAAAGCAGTAGAAAATGGCCCAAGTTCTTGGGCTACTTCACCCATGTGGGAGACCCAGAGGAAGCTCATAGCTCTTGGCTTTGGTCTGGCCCACCTCCAGCCATTGTGGCCATTTGGGGGATGAACCAGAGAATAGATCAATCTCTCTCTCTTTATCTCCCTCTCCCTCTCTTTATAACTCTGCCTTTGAAATAAATAAAAAGGGCCAGTGCTGTGGTACAGCAGGGTTAATGCCCTGGCCTGAAGCGCTGGCATCCTATATGGCCGCTGGTTCGAGACCCAGCTGTTCCACTTCGGATCCAGCTCTCAGCTATGGCCTGGGAAAACAGTAGAAGATGGCCCAAGTCCTTGGGCCCCTGCACCCATGTGGGAGACCCGAAGAGGCTCCTGGATCCTGGCTTTGGATCAGCACAGCTCCGGCTGTTGCGGCCAATTGGGGAGTGAACCATCGGATGGAAGACACTCTCTCGCGCTCTCTCTCTCTCTCTCCTCTCTCTGTGTAACTCTGACTTTCAAATAAATAAATAAAAATAAATCTTTTTTTTAAATAAAAAACGAAACTCTGCCTTTCAAATAAATAAAATGATTCTTTTTTTTAAAAGATAGATAAAGAGACAGATTTGAGGATATTTAGCAAGTAAAACCTACAGAATTTAGAGATAAATTTTATATCTGTGTTTATAGACAGGAAAACAAAGATGCCAATGGTAAATTCATTCTCTGGCTTGTTAATAAAGTGGGGATGGGTGGAGAAAGAGTTAATAATAACTCAGTTTGGGGCTGAGTTGGGGATGCATTTTTAGGTCTCACTTCTTTCTCACCTCCTTTCCTTAGATGATGATCTCACCTTTTTTTGTTGTTGTTCTTTAAATAGAAGACAGTTTCTGAAGGACATCTCACAAACTCAGACTCTTCCTGCAGCCAGCCTGACAGCTGGAGTGAGTGAAGTAGCCTGGGTCAGGGAGACAATCATGATGGTGGAGACTTTGGTGACTTGTAGAGCCAGTGGAGGGTGGGGGAGGTGGCTATGACTCAGATTAACTCAGATTTGGAGTCAGTCAATTAGACTCTGATTGGGAGTCAAATGTTGCTAGCTCTAGGTTTTTCAAGGAGATCTAAAAGTCATTATTTTTATGTTTCTTTGTTAGCAACTAATTTCGGCACACACACACATGCATGCACATACATTCACAGGCACACACACACACACACACACACACCCTTACTGACCTACTGTAAGGACCAACCCTATGGACAAAATAAAACAAATCTATGACTCCTGGGTAATCAAATTAGGATTTTGGGGCCGGCACCGTGGCTCACTTAGTTAATCCTCCGCCTGTGGCGCCGGTATCTCATATGGGCGCCAGGTTCTAGTCCAGGTTGCTCTTCTTCCAGTCCAGCTCTCTGCTGTGGCCCTGGGGGTGGGGGGGCAGTGGAGGATGGTCCAGGTTCTTGGGCCCTGCACCTGCATGGGAGACCATGAAGAAGCACCTGGTTCCTGGCTTCAGATTGGCGAAGCGCTGGCCGTAGTGGCCATTTGGGGAATGAAGCAGTAGTGGCCATTTGGGGATTGAAGCAACAGAGGGAAGACCTTTCTCTCTGTCTCTGTCTCTGTCTCTGTCTCTGTCTCCCTCTCTCTCTCTCTCACTGTCTATAACTCTACCTGTCAAATAAAAAAAATTAGGATTTTGGCTCCAAATCATTATTAGTATTAGATTACTCATCAAATTACTAATAAAGTATAATTTCCTTAACATTATTGGGATAGAAATGATAAGATATCACTATTAAGTGGTTTAAGCATTTGGATTTTACCAAAATGTATTATTTAATCAATCTTAAAACGTTTTTAATTTTTTAAAATTTGTATTTAAAAAATACCAAATCTCAGGAAAAATTGCAAGAATACAATCATTAACTCCCACATACCTTCATCCAGATTCACCAGTTTTCTTAGCATTTTGTCATATTTGTGTATCCCCCCCCACATCCTATATCTGAATCATTTGAAAGCAGGCTTTCCCCGATACAGACATGACATACTTGACATTCTCTTACACAACCTCAATACATTGATCAAATACAACACTGTTATCTAATATACATTTACTATACAACATTGCGATTTTTTTTTATCCAAGATCCAGCCAGTGCCACCCCCTTGCACTTGAATGTCATGTATGTTTAATCCTTTAACCTAGAATGATTCCTCGTGTCTTTCAGGACACATTTTTGAAGAGTAGAGACCAGCTGTTTCACGGGAAGCTCCTCAGATGGAGTTAGCTTGGTTGTTACTGATGATTAGATTCAAGCTGTACCTTTTTGACAGGAATACTAGTCAATGTCCTGGTATTTGCAGGACCTCACCCCAGGAGCAAATGACGCCACTTTTATCAGTTAGGGAGGGGGTGCCTTGTAGATTCCCTACTAGGCAGGAAGCTCATTCCTTGGAGATCAGCAAGGAATCTGCAGGGAGGTAGTCTGAGACCCTAAACCTACAGTTGGTGATTTTGTTCATCAAAAAATCTTCATCCAGTTATTTTAGCACCCATTGAAGATTCTTGCCTGAATCTTACTATGGAGGTGGCAAGTTTATGATTTTTAAAATATTTCTTCTACATTTATTAGCTCTTCATGGTCTTAAAAGAAGAGCTTTCTCCTCTCCATTTATTTATTTGGCCATATTTGCATATCGCCTCACTCCTGCCTCCTGTATGGGATGCTGGTATTTCAGGTGTCAGATTTACCTGCTGCAGCATAATACCAGCCTGTATTTTTTTTAATATCTGTATGGCTACTGGGACTGTTTTGATAGTCAGTGTATCAGGGACCAAGTACTTGAGCCATCACCTGGTGTTTTCCCAGGGTGTGTATTATCAGGAAGGGGGATTGGAAGCAGCAGAGGTGGGGAATTTAACTAAGCCCTCTAATACAAGATGTGGGTGTCCCAAGCAGCACCTTAATCACTGTGCTACACACCACCTCCACTCCCCACCCCACAATCCTTCCAAGATTGAAATTTTAAAAAGATACCTGCTTCCTTAAGAGAGGTCAAATGACACATGCCTTTAAAGCAGTGATTTTCAAATGTGGTTGCACATAGCCTCTCTCAGGGAGATATGAGTAGGGGCTGAACCCCATGGCAATTAAGTCAGAATCTTTACAGCATGCATAGTACTTTCTCTTTTTTAACTTTTATTTAATGAATATAAATTTCCAAAGTACAGCTTATGGATTACAATGGCTCCCCCCCCATAACTTCCCTCCCACCCGCAACCCTCCCCTCTCCCACTCCCTTTCCCCTTCCACTCACATCAAGATTCATTTTCAATTCTCTTTATATATAGAAGATCAATTTAGGATATATTAAGTAAAGATTTCAACAGTTTGCTCCCACACAGAAACACAAAGTGAAAAATACTGTTTGAGTACTAGTTATAGCATTAAATCACAATGTACAGCACATTAAGGACAGAGATCCTATGTGAGGAGTAAGTGCACAGTGACTCCTGTTGTTGACTTAACAAATTGACACTCTTGTTTATGGCCTCAGTAATCACCCTAGGCTCTTGTCATGAGTTGCCAAGGCTATGGAAGCCTTTTGAGTTCGCTGACTCTGATCATATTTAGACAAGGTCATAGTCAAAGTGGAGGTTCTCTCCTCCCTTCAGAGAAAGGTTCCTCCTTCTTTGATGACCTGTTCTTTCCACTGGGATCTCACTCACAGAGAACTTTCATTTAGGTGTTTTTTTTTCTTTTTTCCAGAGTGTCTTGGCTTTCCATGCCTTAAATACTCTCATTGGCTTTTCAGCCAGATCCGCATGCCTTAAGGGCTGATTCTGAGGCCAGAGTGCTATTTAGGACATCCGCCATTCTACGAGTCTACTGTGTATCCTGCTTCCCATGTTGGATCATTCCCTCCCTTTTTTATTCTATTGGTTAGTATTTTCAGACATTAGTCTTGTTATGTGATCCCTTTGACTCTTAGTCCTATCATTATGATAAATTGTGAACAGAAATTGATCACTTGGACTAGTGAGATGGCATTGGTACATGCCACCTTGATGGGATTAAATTGGAATCCCCTGGTATGTTTCTAACTCTACCATTTGGGGCAAGTCCAATTGAGCATGTCCCAAATTTTACCTCTCCTCCCTCTCTTATTCCCACTCTTATATTTAACAGGGATCACTTTTCAGTTAAGTTTCAACAGCCACCTACAGGATTCCACTGAGAAGCCACCACATGTGTGAGGAAAGTCTCTGCTAAGGTTATAGGTGGCTTGGTTCACAAGCTAAACACAAGTGAGCATGATCCACATCACATATCTGACTTAAAAACTGGTAATTAAAAACTGTGTTAGGGCCGGCGCCGCGGCTCAATAGGCTAATCCTCCGCCTAGCAGCGCCGGCACACCGGGTTCTAGTCCCGGTCAGGGCGCCGGATTCTGTCCCGGTTGCCCCTCTTCCAGGCCAGCCCTCTGCTGTGGCCAGGGAGTGCAGTGGAGGATGGCCCAAGTGCTTGGGCCCTGCACCCCATGGGAGACCAGGAAAAGCACCTGGCTCCTGGCTCCTGCCATCGGATCAGCGCGGTGCACCGGCCGCAGCGCGCCGGCCGCGGCGGCCATTGGAGGGTGAACCAACGGCAAAGGAAGACCTTTCTCTCTGTCTCTCTCTCTCTCACTGTCCACTCTGCCTGTCAAAAAAAAAATAAAAAAAATAAATAAAATAAAAATAAAAAAAATAAAAAAATAAAAACTGTGTTAGAGTATATTTTGAGCTTAACCTGGGAGTTGAAAGACATGGAATATGTTTTTGTTTTTTTCTTAGTGTGATAAAAACCACGTTCCCGGGGCCGGCGCCATGGCTCACTTGCCTAATCCTCCGCCTGCAGCGCCGGCATCACATATGGGTGCTGGTTCTAGTCCCAGTTGCTCCTCTTCCTGTCCAGCTCTCTGCTGTGGCCCGGAGTGGGGGGCAGTGGAGGATGGCCCAAGTGCTTGGGTGCCTGCACCCACATGGGAGACCAGGAGGAAGCACCTGGCTCTTGGCTTCGGATCGGTGCAGCTCTGGCCATGGTGACCATTTGGGGGGTGAACCAACAGAAGGAAGACCTTTCTCTCTGTCTCTCTCTCTCTCTCTCTCTCTCACTGTCTATAACTCTACCTGCCAAAAAAAGTTCCCTTAATTTTATGGTTTATGTGAGGTTCACATTTTAATTACTTCTGAAATCACATTATGACCTAAAACTAAGACTGTGTGTGTGTGTGTGTGAAAGTTTTAAAGTTGTATCTAGGACAGGGTTCTTAAAGTTCAGTGCACACCAGAAATACCCAGAGTACTTTTCCCAAATGGGGCATTTTAGGCAGATTTCTGGTCCTTTGAGAAGGCCCAGGTGACAACCACCAATGATTCTGATTCACCTTGCACTTTACCTTGAATGGCAGTTTTCAGAGTAGCATTGCATCACCTGAGAACTTGTTAGAAATGCACGTTCTCAGGTCCTGCCCTAGACTTTACTGAATCAGAAACTTGAAGTGAGGATGAGCATTCTGTGTGTTCACAGGCTGTAGGGATGCTGAGGCAGGATAAGGAGCCATGTTCTAAGAAGTGTTGCCAGTGCTCCTGTGTTTCTTTAATGAATAGTAGTCATTGAGGTTTTTTTTTCATTTTTAAAATTTATATAAGGTGAACAAATTTCCTGTATTTTATATACACAAATTTAGGAGCATAGTGATACTTCCCCTCCTAAATTCCCTCCCGCCCATGATCCCACCCTTCATCCTCATTCCTTTCTAATTCTTTCTTTTAATTTTTATAATGACATACTTTCAGCTAATTTTATAAATATAAGCTTGACCCTTCATTCAGTAAAGAATTTAACAAATAGGAAGAAAACAACAACACTGTTCCTCAACAGTAGAAACAAGGGCTGTAAACAATCATCAAATCTCAAAATGTCAGTTTTGCTCACATACAGTACATTTTTTGTACTCTATTAGTTACCACACATCAGGGAAAACATATGATATTTATCTTTTAGGGACTGGTTTATTTGACTAAGTATAATGGTTTCCAGTTGCATCCATTTTGTTGCAAAATGAAACAAAGCCAATCCTCTCCCTATCCTTTCCACTGGGTGGTATTGAGACCATGGGAGAACATTTGGTTACTTCCAAGGCCAAAACAGCTTTGCCTACCTATTCTGTGTTTCTCTTTCACAAGAGGTTCCTGAGTTAGGAAAGCACTGGAGCCACACCTCTTCCTACTTCTGGCCTAAGTTACTCTAATGCCATTTCCCTCATTGTTCCCTGAGTTGATCAGCCCTACTGGGCCTCCTGGACACTCAGCTCCACCTCCAGGAGAGCACCAGGGACAGCATCCAACACACTCACCTGCTTGGGTCTGGAAGGCCAAGAAAAGGAAGACTGGGGTGCCATGGACTCATCACCACATCACTGGGAGCTCCAAGACCATCCACTGCCCAGACTGTGGCAGGGGCAACCTGGAGGCAGAGACAGAGACATCCAAATCTAATTTATGGATGAGTAGTATTCCATAGTGTATATATAACACGTTTTCTTTGTCCAGTCATCGGTTGATGGACATCTAGGATGATTATCTTAGCTATTGTGAACTGAGCTATAATAAACGTGAGGGTACAGATATGCTGACTGCATTTCATTTGGGTAAATTCCCAGAAGTGAGATTGGGTCATATGGTAGATCTCTTTGCAGATTTCTGAGGTATCTCATTACTGTATTCCACAATGGCTGTACTAATTTACATTCCCATCAACAGTGTATTAGGGTATATTTTCTCCCACGTTCTCACCAGTATTTATTGTTTTCTTTAATTTTTTTTTTATGAGAGCCATTTTAACTGGGGTGAAGTGAAACCTCATTGTGATTTTGATTTGCATTTTCTTGATGCCTAGTGATCTTGAGAATTTTTCATGTATCTGTTGGCCATTTAGATTTCCTTTTTTGAAAAATGCATGTTCAAGTCTTTTGTCCAACTGGATTGCTTGTTTTGTTGTTGTTGAGTTTATTGAGCTCTTTATAGATTCTGGGTATTAATCCTTTATCAACTGCATAGTTTGCAAACAATTTCTCCCATTCTGCTGGTTGCCTCTTCACTTTGCTGTTTCTTTTGCAGTACAGAAGCTTCTCAACTTGATATAATCCCATTTGTCAATTTTGGCTTTGATTGCCTGTGCCTCTGGGGTCTTTTCCAAGAAGTTTTGATTGTGGCAATATGTCTTGATGTAGGCACCGGTTGCTATAAACTTCCTTCTTAACACTGCTTTTTCCGTATCCCATAAGTTTTGATATGCTGTATTGTCAACTTCATTCATTCCCAGTACTTTTTTATTTCCCTTTTGATTTCTTCTATGACCCACTGTTCATTCAGGAACATGTTGTTCAGTCTTCATATGTTTGATTATGTTCTAGAGATTCTTATGTTGTTAATTTCCGTCTTCATTTCATTATGTTCAGAACAGATACATAATATGATTTCAGTTTTTTAACTTGCTAAGACCTGATTTATGGCCTAGCATATTGTCTATCCCAGAGACATTTCCATGCACTGATGAAAAGAATGTGTATTCTGCAACTGTGGGATGAAAGGTTCTGTAGATATCAGTTAGGTCCATTTGGTCCATAGTTTCTATTAGCTCTGTTATTTCTTTGTTGATTTTCTGTCTAGTTGATTTGTCCATTGATGAATGTGGGGTGTTGAAGTACCCCATTACTATTAATATTGGAATCTATGTTTCCCTTTAGATCTATTAACATTTGTTTTAAATGGCCAGATGCCTTGGCATTGAATGCATATACATTTATTATAGTCACGTCTTTCTGTTGAATTGGTCCCTTAATCACTACATAATGCCCTTCTTAGTCTCTTTTAACAGTTTTTGTTTTAAAGTCTATTTTGTCTGATATTAGGATGGCTACACTTGTTCATTTTTGCTTTCCATTAGCATGGAATATCTTTCTCCATCCTTTCACTTTCAATCTGAACATATCTATGTAGGTGAGATGTGTTTCTTGCAGGCAGCAAATAGATGGGTCTCTTTTTTTATTTTAAGTCCATTCAGCCAATCTGTATCTTTTTTTAAAAAAAGATTTATTTTATTTATTTGAAAGACAGAGCTACAGAGAGAGGTAGAAACAGAGACAGAGAGAGGTCTTCCATCTGCTGGTTCACTCCCCAAATGGCCCCAATGGCCGGAGCTGAGCTGATCCAAAGCCAGGAGCCAGGAGTTTCTTCCAGAACTCCCACAAGTGTACAGGATCCCAGGGATTTGGGCTATCCTCTGCTGCTTTTCCAGGTGCATTTTCAGGGAGCTGGATCAGAAGTGGAGCAGCAGGGACCCGAACAGCACCCATACTGGATGCTGGCGCTGCAGGCTGGGGCCTTAACTGCCATGCCACATTTTTGGCCCCCAGTCTGTGTCTTTTAATAGGAGAATGTAGGCTATTTACATTCAAGGTTATTATTTTTTAAATATTTATTTTGTTTATTTGAAAGACAGAGTTACAGAGAGGTAGAGACAGAGAGAGAGGTCTTCCATCTGCTGGTTCACTCCCCAGATGGCTGCAATGGCTAGAGCTGCAGCAATCCAAAGCCAGGAGCCAGGAGCTTTTTCTGGTTCTCCCACATGGGTGCAGGGGCTCAAAGGCTTTAGGCCATCTTCTACCGCTTTCCCAGGCCACAGCAGAGAGCTGAATTAGAAGAGGAGCTGCCAGGACCCATATGGGATGCTGGAATTTCAGGCCAGTGCTTTAACCCGCTCTGCCACAGTGCTGGCCCCTCAAGGTTATTATTGATAAATAATGATTTGGTCCTACCATTTTCCTATACATATTCCTATTGTTTGCTTTGAATTTTCTTTGTGCTTTTACTGTAAGATTTTCTGCTTTCACATTCTTTCATCATGATGACTATCATTCTCTATTTCTACGTGTAGCACTTTCCGAAGAATCATTTGTAAGGCTAGACAAATAGTGACAAATTCTTTGAATTTATGTTTTCTCTGGAAGGTCTTTATTTCACTTTCACTTATAAATGAGAGCTTTGCTGAGGACTGTATCCTGGGTTGACATTTTCTTTCTTTTAGGACTTGGACTATGTCTATCCATTCTCTCCTGGCCTGTAGAGTTTCAGATGAGAAATCAAAAGTTAGTCTAATCGGGATTCTCTTGTGTACATTTTAGAATCTTTTCTTTGTGTTGTGCTGTTGAAAGTTTGACTGTAATGTTCCCTGGTAAAGATCTTTTCTGTTCCTGTCTATAGGAGTACTAGGTGCTTTCTGTATTTGGAAATCCCATTATGTCTCCAAATTGGGGAAGTTTTCTGCTATTTATTTCATTGAATAGTCATTCTAGTCCATTCTTTCTTTTGTTGCCTTCAGGAACTCCACAGACATGTATGTTTAGTCATTTGATAGTATCTCATAAATATCAAATACTATTTTCAGTTTTTTCTAATTTTTTCTTCTTTTTTGTCTGACTGAGATACTTCCAGGATTTGTCTTCTAGCTTGGATATTCTTTCCTTTTTTCTTTTTAAAGATTTATTTATTTGTTTGTTTGAGAGGCAGAGTTACAGAGAGAGGAAGAGACAGAAAGAAAGATCTTTTATCCGCTGGTTTACTCCCCAAATGGCTGCAAGAACCAGGGCCAGCCAAGTCAAAACTAGGAGCCAGGAGCTTCCTCCTGGCTTCCACATGGGAGCAGGGACTCAAGGAATTGGATCACCTTCTGCTGCTTTCCAAAGTGCATTAGCAGGGAGCAGGATCTGAAGTGGAGCAGCTAGGACTCGAACTGGCACTCATATGAGATTCTGGCACTGCATACAGCAGCTTTACCCTTTGTGCCAGTGTCTCCTCTAATATTTGAGTTTGATTTCTCTTCACTATCTCAATCTCTTGGCAAATTTTTTCATTCACACTATGAATGGATTTTTTTTAACTCATGAATTTGTTTCTCTGTGTTTCTGAGTAATTTTATGATCATTCTTTTGAATTCCTTTTCAGTCATTTCACCAATCTCTTTGTCTTCATATTCTAATATTTAAGTGTTGTTGTGTTCCTTTTGAGGAGTCATATTGTCTTCCTTGTTCTTGTTTCTTATATTCCTATGTTTATTTTTAGGCATTTGTGGAAACACTTGTTGTTTTTCTCCTCTGATGGGTTTTGTCTTTGAGCTATGGCTCTGTGGCTTAGTGGAGTGTCTGCTCCTTCAGTGAATACCCAGAGGCACAGGCTGGGTGGTACCAGGGGGCTCTGGTCAATGCTCAAGTGTGGGGCGAGAATCCAGGGTGACACTGAAGATGGGCGTGATAGATCTCTTCTAATGTCAGCAAGTTGGAGGGTATAATTATGCCTGTTGGCATAATCACAACTTCACCTCCTCTCTTCTAAGGTGATCAGTGCCTGAGGTTAGCCCACAGTGGGTACAAGCCTCACCCACACTGGTACATGAACCACACAAATGATCTATGTAGATCTCAGTGTGTGCCTGGAACCCTCTGTGATGACCCACCCAGGGAGTCAGGGAGCTCGGAGACTCTGGTTCCAGCCACAGTGATTGCCCAGAGACCCTGCTACACCCATTTCCTATCACGCAGTTACAGGATTCCCACAGTCACAGTGCACAAGGTTCCCACAGTCATGGGGTGTAGAGGATCCACTCAACCCCATGAGTGGATCCTGTCCATGGAAAGAGCAGAGACATTCCCTGAATCAGCTGCCTGTGGAGGCTCCACCTTGTCAGATTGAGCCCCACAGCCTATGATAGGTTGAGAGGATGGGGGCACCTGACAGTCCTATGTAGGTGCCCAGCCCCTTATCAAGCATCCCAGCCAGACTCAAAGTCCGTGGGGAAAGTGGATTTTTCCCTCTGGTAAATCTCCTAGTTGCATGTGTGTGAGAACCACTGCAGCCTCTGCTGGCGCTGATGGTGCTCTCTCCTTACTGGTCTCCAGGCACCCTTGTTGGGGTATAGGGAAGAAGAAATGTACTTTTCCTTCACTGGATTAGGTGGGTATCCTGTGCCCTGCTAAGGTTTTAGGCCGGGCTCAAAGTCATTGTGGTCGGCAAGGCTCACCCTTGGGTAACATCACCAGTGATGTAGGCTGCCATGGTCCATTTTCACCTGGCTCTCAGAAGTTGGCGTCTCCTCCAGCCCCAAGATGCGGAAGTCATGGGTAGTCTCTGCTGCCATATGACCTCACTTTCCTTGCTGCTCCATGGTGACCCTCTTCTTTCTGTAGAATTTCCTCTACGAACTTCTCCCCGACTCCCCTAGGAATGCACTTACTCCACTTTTCCTTTACTATCTTCCCCTGGTCACAATCAGCATGTCTTTTTCCTATTTAGCCATCTTGGAATCTCCATTGAAGATATTTTTTTAAAACTTTTATTTAATGAATATAAATTTCCAAAGTACGACTTATGGATTACAATGGCTTCCCCCCCATACCGTCCTTCCCACCC